GGTTGTACAGTATGTTAATATTGTTCTCACCAATGGATGACACCAAAGTGTTAGCATAAAGGAGAAATTGTAATTCAACCACATTGGAGGATGATGAGAAATTGTGAGGAACATACAAAGTGACAATACAAATGACAAAAATTGTATATGTAGGAATAAATAAGCTAGTCTTTCAACTCATTGTCGGGTGTCTTTCTCTGTGCTTATGTTTATTAAAATTATTAACATAGGACAGACTTGCCAGGGGGAGCTACGAGGGGGGGTCAGCAAATTTTGGGGGGTGGCCAATTTTGGTGGCGACCCTGTCAAGATATTTTCTGGCAAAATTGAGACGAGACTTTATGTTCCTTTTGCCTTAGCAATGGTTTTCGTCTTGGAACTCTGCCATGCGGGCCATTTTTGCCAACAGTCTCTTTCTTATATTGGAGTCATGAACACGGGGGGGGGTCCAAAGCTTCTTTTTTTTTTTTTTTATTATAAAAGGCTTTATAACCTTTTCCGGACTGATAATCTCTGTTCTTATGTTTATTAAAATTATTAACATAGGACAGACTTGCCAGGGGGAGCTACGAGGGGGGGTCAGCAAATTTTTGGGGGTGGCCAATTTTGGTGGCGACCCTGTCATCAAGATATTTTCTGGCAAAATTGAGACAAAACTTTGTTCCCTTTGCCTTAGCAATGGTTTTCGTCTTGGAACTCTGCCATGCGGGCCATTTTTGCCAACAGTCTCTTTCTTATATTGGAGTCATGAACACTGGGGGGGGTCCAAAGCTTCTTTTTTTTTTTTTTTATTATAAAAGGCTTTATAACCTTTTCCGGACTGATAATCTCAGTTAATTTGTTTCTCATTTGTTCCTGAATTTTCTTGGATCACGGCATGTCTGTTTTTTGAGGATCTTTTGGTCTTCTCCACTTTGTCAGGCAGGTCATATTAAAATGATTTGGCAACCACAATGATGTAGAAATGGCAAACCACAGCCCTCACTGGTTTGCTGTGCTGCATGTGGATACTCAAATTGCTCAGAAGACATGCATATTTTTCCCACTGATCACGAGAAGAGAAAGAAATAGTTGGCTCGAGTCAGGAGCGATCTTAAACTGACAAAAGATTACAACAGAAAAGTATTTGAGGTAAAATCGTAACAAAGCAACGCATTTGCACTTTTCACACCACTGGGAAGATAATTGATTGAAAAGGGTAAATTTAAAAACAATTTCAGGAAATGTTTATTTTATTTTTTTACGTGGTTGGAAATCCTTTAACCACACACGTGGAGCAGCAACTCTCGCACTTCTTTGAACCAATAGTCATTTTTTTCTGGCTTTGCTGTTCTGAGTGGGATGTCTGCCAGCATACTTAAGTACTTACTCCAATCAGCTTCTCACCAGGCAACAGGTGGTATAAACTTTGACGAGCAGCTTTTCTGCGTGGCACAAAGACAAAGCTCAGATTTGGACTCATTACACCAAAGCAAAGATTTCCACTGGTCTAATGTCCATTCCTTGTGTTTCTTGGCCCAAACAAATCTCCTCTGCTTGCTTTTCCTTAGTAGCTATTTGACCATAAAGGCCTGATTTGCGCAGTCTTCTCTGAACATTTGGTGTAGAGATGTGTCTGGTACTCAAACTCTGTGTGGCATTTATCTGGGCTCTGAGGTGCTGTTAACTTGCAATTTCTGAGGCTAGTGACTCGGATGAATTTATCCTCAGCCCCAGAGCTGACCCTTGGTCTTCCTTTTCTGGAGTGGTCCTCATTTGAGCCAGTTTCATCATAGTGCTTGATGGTATTTGCAGCTACACATGGAGACGCATTCAAAGTTTTAACAATTTTTCAGACTGACTGATCTTTAGTTCTTAAAATAATGATGGACTATTGTTTCTCTGTACTTTGCTGATTGGTTCTTGCCATAATATGAATTCTAACAGTTGGTAGGTACATAACTGACAGTCCTGACTTCTGCACAACTGATGGTCCCAACCCCATTAAGAAGGCAAGAAATTCCACAAATGAACCCTGACAAGACACACCTGTGAAGTGAAAACCATTTCAGGTGACTACACCATGAAGCTTATTGAAAGAAGGCAAAGTTTGCAGCGCTGTCAACAAAGCAAAGGGTGCCTACCCTTATAATTTACAATATAAAACATATCTATGTATACATGTATATGTGGGCAAAAGAATTAAAACAAACAGTTGCTAGGCTTTACTTCAGTCAGTATTTCCGTAGTTTTCTTTTCCCAAAAAAATGTGTTAAACTGTCAATACTGTACCAATGAATGACAATGACTGAAGTTAACATGCTACCATTAAGTAAAATAGTTTTGTTACAGTGTCATACTTAATTGTATTTGAACCTCAATTTCTTCAATTTGAGGTTTTGTTTGATATTTTTTTCCCTGTTGAGCATTTTTTGAGTAATTGTTTTTTGTTTGTTTTTTTTTTACAAGGAGCCGGGCTTTATTTTATTTTTTGTCACCCTATTTTCATTCTCTTATATACTTACTTTGTAATGGTCTCTCTCTCCTCACTGGCAGAATCTCTCATTTTTTCTGTTTCTATGTTCTCATCTTTGTGCAGTGAGTCAGCCACACCTGCTGATAATAACACACACCTGTTGCCCACAACTGAGATGACAGACCTTGTCGACCGTACATACAATACACAAACATCACATTGGGGACACAGGTCAGGCTAGGTAGCAAGGGGGGAAAAAAAACATTGAAATGTGTAACACAAAAGGATAATCCAGGAATGCACAGATATCAACACACCATAACACAATAAAACACAGACAAGCAACATGGGAGAATATTCCAGTGTGTACAGCTGAATCTGGCACCGCTGCAATCTTCGATCGCGGCTCCAGCTGTCCACATGGGATGGGAGGTAAGCATGGGAGTAGGCGTTGGATTCGGGGGAGGGAGGGTGATAGTACGTATCAGTGTATGTGTGTGTGTGTGTATCCCGTGTTCAGCTGAGAGAAATGTCACCACGCCCAGTTAAGCGAAGGTCAACAGTCTCCAGTGGACCCAGATGGCCTTGAAGGAAGGACAAAAAGTTCTCACATCAGTCCTGTTTATCATGGAGAATTTTTGTAGTTCCAGTCAGGTTCGACCTTGGCAGGCCTTCAGCTGGCACCAGTGGGACAGCCGCATGAGTGAAGATGGTGAATGTTTGGGTTTCGTGCAAACAACTGCATCCAATTTTTACAGTTGGTCTAATGTCTGTCACTGGTCACCAATTCTCTCAATTCCTGTTCTTCTTCTCCAAGATGTTATTAATATTGCAGAGCTATGAGCTTCTCCAAGATCTTATCCATATTGCGTTCAATAACACAGTCTTACTCACAGCCCTGCCCATCGTCTATCATGTTGGCCAGCCTTGTGGGATTTTGAACAGCTGTAGCTGCTTCTTGTTCTTCGATAAGCCAGGTCCGAGCCAGCTCCAATCAGCCAGAACTCTGTTATCATGGTTCAGAATTGGTAGACACACAACGCAACCGACCATCGAGTATCCGGCAGCAAACGTCTCCGCGGGACAATCGGGCTCTCCCAAGCCCAAGAAGGTGTCAATTTCGTTACGGGACCAGTTGACCAAATCCATAATTCTTTAGGTTTTAGAGAACAAGACTGAGACTCTTTGAGGGTTAGAGTTAGACAAGACTAGACAAAGAAGCAGCAGCAGGGAAGATAAGGGAGGGAGAGGGTGAAAGATGCGTCCGCCTTCTCCGAGAGCCAAAGGGAAAATAAGGAAAACTACTAGGAAAATAAACCAATTCATTCTTTTACAAAAACATCAAATGTAGTAAGCCAAAATATCAAAGAAGACATGTTTACACTTCTAAAGTAACTGTTCTTCATTTCTACGCTCCTCTCCACAGTCAGTTACTCTGAAACTGTAAACATGTCTTCTTCGGTCTTATAGCTTACACGTTTGACGTTTTTATTTCCAGGGGACTGTAAAAAGCCAGCTTTATTTTTTCTTCAAGAAGCAATGGCGTTGTAGGATGATGTACCAAGTGTAAGTATTAGCATGAAGTAAAATATATCTAAATTTTTAATATCATACTTGATTGTATTTAAAGCTTTAATTTTTACCTGTACTTTTTAAATTTTATTCACTTTGCGCTGTTACTCAATTTCTTCTTTTGGACCTCATCTTCTTCTTCGTCTGTGATGACACAGTTGCTTGGCTCTGCTCCACAGTCAGTCTTCCTCAGGAAAAGTTACAGTGGAACTGTTAACATTTCTTTTTGCATCTTGTACCTTACTGCATTGGATGTTTTTTGCAAAAATGTTTTCCAGGTATTCTGGGGCACATGTTCAAACAAGGAAGGTTTATTTCTTAAAATCATTTATTAATCAAAAGACACACAATCATCTTTTTCACCCCCAAAAATATATGTTCAAAGCACCACAACGGCCCAACATCACACAGAACAGTCACGTGATATTAAAGAGAAGCTGTCAATTTAACTCTGTAGAGTGGGCAATCATGGTGAAGCAGTTCATATCAAGTTGTAAATTCAAGCTGCTCAACATATTTTTGGACACCAGATGTCACCAAAGAGAACTTGGTTGGAAAGCTTTGAGTAATGAATGAATGGGTCACGGAACAAAACAAGCACATTCATTCAATAATTGTTTAAGTACTTACTCTATAATAAGTACTTCAACAAGAGAGAGGAACATAGGGTGATGCATGGAGGGAATTGAAGTGCACACAGGTGGACTACATCTTATATAGAACCCCCAAAAGAGGATCCTTTTCATCTGGACGCAGCGGTTTCAGTGGGAGAAATGTATCCAGGTCACTTCTTTAGACTCAGCTGATCACACATTTCCCCAATCTTATAAACAGTACTTTTGCATAATAACTGAAACTAGCACCACTGAAGGAACAATGGGCTGGGAAGTCAGTTCCTTGATCATTAACATGCAAATTCTCATGACCATTGATCAACAACCACTGACCAATGGGCATGAGTACCATTCAAGTATCAAGAAGAAGTGATGACGGCAGCAGCATCCTTGCTGGAGACGCAAGAATGAGATGGTTTGGACATGTGCAGCAGATAGTGGATATACTGGACAATGGATGTTGACTAAGGAGCTGGAGAAGCTTAAATTACTTAAGCATAAAAACACGGATCAAACAGTGAGATAATACTGTAAACTACACAGACTGTCATAGAGT